AGCCCCTTTGTGAATAGCACAATACACACACACACACACACACACACACACACACACACACACACACACAAAATTAATTTGTATCAGTTTAACAAGATACATTGAAAGTACAGGAAGCTATAGGGATATAGCTTATTTCTTTCTTCCCCCCCGCCAAGGAAGGAACTCAGTATGTTTAAATCTTGGCTTCATGCACATAGTAAAGTCTAATATTCTTCCTTATACAAAACAGAAAAGGGAAATCTTTAAAAATATCTGAAAATTTTGCTTGGTTTGCTTATGGTTTACAATCTCTGTTCCCTTCTTCCACTTACATTCCCCCTCTGAGGGGCTCAAAGCCTCAATAACTAGTTTAGATCATACTGTTGTACCTTCATCCAACACTAGTATCCCATGCAGATACAGATGTCAGATGTCTGTCAAGTGGCAGCTGTTGTCTGGGGCCCAAAAGATCAGTTTCCCAGGGAAGGAGAAATCAGCTACATGGAGCCTGGGTATAGCCTAAGTTTAACTTCTTTAATTTACACAACTACACTAGCCATATAATGTAAATAGGGAAATCCCTTAAAATATTTTTCTATACAAACTGTTTATATACCAAATAAGCTTTTGAAACTAACATCACATTATGTTGCCATCCCATGACAATAGTTGTCTTCATATTTCTGCCACAAGCTCTAATGGTTACATTACCATCTTATCTTTTATTTTGTTCTTAAATCCTAGAAATATGCAACAGTGAATGCCTATCTAGGAATTTACTGTATTCTCATCATCCCACACAGAAGGCTTCCAGGGCTACACTAATACTAGATTTTTTTTACTCGACTTCAGCTGAATATACAATATTATTTAGAAAGAGATTCTTCAGATATTTGAACTGCATTTATTTTATATTTTGAGCAGGAGTTTGCCCTCTTTCTCACTGGCACACTTACCTATTCATTCCAGTGGGCAAATTTCAAACAGTTTTGCCTACTGCAACTGCCCTTACCCATGTCCTTGCCCCCTACATTTCTAGGCAGCTAACTAAACAAAGGTGGGTGCTAGATAATAACCCCAGATAATAATCTGAAAGAATTTACTTTATGAGTGCAGTAATCAAATGTCATGTTACGGAATACAAGTAGCTTAGCTTCATAGGTTTGGAAGAATTGTTTTGTCCCAGCACAGCATTGTATAATGGGCATGGAAATGGGGTTTCACTGCCTATTTTAAATTTGGGTAATAACTACTGTTAAAGGCAGGGTATTAAATCTTGTGGAACTTCATCTGGTCTGATTTGGTCAAACTGTCTGTTCCTGTGGATTAGACCACATCCCTATACACAGTATCATCCATGAGATGACCCAAAGATACTCAGTTGGAGGTGAGATAATCCAAATTCCCCTCTCCCGCACCCTACAAAAAATAACCCCTACACACACACACACACACACACACACACACACAAAACCACCACCACACATGCACACACAACGCTTAGTGTAAAAGAGAGCCAAAAGGTCATGTCGCGAAAAGCACAAAAGATGTACATAAGATACAAGTTCAAGAGAGAGGCTGCAAGACTTTCTAGACCTTGTCATAAGATCATCAAAGATGAGAGGGTATTGAAAAAATGTGAGGGTGAAAAAGGTACCTTCGACTGATCATTGATGGTTGCCAAGGGGGAAGATGAAGAACTGGAAAGTGATTCTTTCTTGCCCTTTTTCTTATACAGCATGGTACTCCGGTAGTTCTGGCTGCTTTTCTGGAAAAAAAAAAAAAAGGTCAGAAACCAGCATGCTCAAGTGAGATCAAGTTTGTCCTGGAATGTGTTCAACCTATCCTCGAATATTGATGGGTTATGTTCAATGGGATTGGAACTTTGGTTAAATGTCTAAGCCTTTTGAGTAGAGCTAGGTGGAAAATGTATTTGTATGTGGACATTTTTGACAAAATAAATTGTTTTGTTTTCACTAAAATTTTCAGTGGAAAATTTTGATATAAAACTTGCAGCTGAAATCTACCAAAACAACAAAAATTACAATTTTCTGTCAATTTTTTTTAGTTTTCCAATGGAAAAAATGGGAGAAAAGCATACACTTTTCAGAAACGTTTTCATTTAACCAAACATCAGTTTTCTATGAAAAATGGTTTTGACAGCCACAAGCTCTTCCACAAGATTTGGTATATCCTGTTTCTGATCAGTTTCTGATTTATTTACATAGCACTATAGGTGTACATGGTATTTGATAGACATAGATGGCAAGGTTTTATATTAACAGTGAGTTATAAGATAGCAATGTAAATAAAGGTAGAACTGAGCCTTCTCCTTTTCAACCTTGATGGGAGTTTCAAATTGAATTCAGTGGGAGCAGAGTTGGGCCTGAGCTCTTTTAATTTAAAATGAGATCACAGCAGTATTCTCGTTGTATTTACACAAAGTCAAAATCTCCTTGTGAATGTTTCAACAATTGTTGTTCTGATCTCTACAGAAAACAGGAAGTGCAGAGGTGCATGGACAGAAAACAAAAAATAAATAGAATAAAAATTGTCCAAACTGTTTTGAACTTCAAGAAAGGTTCAGTCTGAGTATTTGGTAAAAGAGCTGGAAAGCCATACATTAGTACCATTAAAAAGATACCAGTTTTACCTGTGATAAATAAATGCAGTTATCTTGGTATCAATGCTTGGAGTATCTCCTTGCACTTCCCTATCCCCTGTATTTTTCTCAGACAATTAGTAAGCTTCAAAGGCCACCACTGTATTTTAGTTAAAGGGATTGTCCATCACAAGTTATAAAAATATCACATATTTGATAACAGGTTGTCCAAAATAATGCAATTATTTTTATCACCAATGTAGTCTGGATATTTTATCTACTCTTGTTATTGCTCTCAGCAGAGTATTTTCAATAGCAATATAACATTACTTCAGGGAGTAAACATCAATCCTCTGAACAGGCACTCAGCAGTATTTAAGATGTGCTTCATTTTCAAATCTTTTCATGAAAACTCTCATTTTGGTTTGAATCCATTCACGGATATTGTTCTTTCTTAGCACTATTCAATAATGGCACTGTCAGGGTATCCCACACTTGGTAATGGAAGTACCAGTATAAAGTCAAAAAATTATGTTTAAGAGGAGAGATACACTTTCACTGCTGGAATGCTGCTGATCCTACCTTCAATGTGTAAAGAATTATTTTTAGGATGTTGAGTTTTTAGAGGGGAAAAGTAACAAAATAGTGTTCTATACCTCAATATTTAATCTATAATACATGACTGGGAGCTAATCCTTTTGGGTTTATCAACACAGCATTCACTAAATTTTCAGATACATTCATTGTACCTGATCCATTTCAAAATGAAATTTTCTTTTTAACAAAAAGATATGGCACAACTCAGCATTTCAAAAAGTATTTCACATACATTAAACTCAAATTTTTTCATACTAGCGATGGGCAAATCTGAAAAGGATTAGATGGTTTAATTTTGTTTGACAAAATGTCTAAAAGTTTTGGAACAATATTTTCAAGATTGGGGCTTTGCAGTGAGACATTTAAAGCATTGCAGGAAATTTAGCCAAACATCTTCCATGTATTTAGTTTTCAATTTAATATACATAGTCTAATTGTTTTGCAAACCTTTACTCCATGTTGTCCTTAAAGCCCTACACTGTACTTCATTTGGAACTTAATTATTTTTACTCGTCATTAGATTTCCAGCACCAAAAAGAACTATATCACTTTACAGTTAAAAATAGAGACATGGTTCCTGTCCAGAAGATCTTACAATCTAATGATAACGAACTATCTGTGATTAAATCCCTGCATTGCCTTTCCAAATCTCAAACCATAATCCCTAGCTTCAAGTACCCTAACCATAGGAGCCATAACCGTAGCTACAAGTACCGTATCCATAGGAACACTAGATCCAAGTAACCTAGGCACAGAAATTCTAACTCAAAAATCCCTACCCATAGGAACCCTAACCCTAGGATGGAGATCCCTTCCCATAGGAACCCTAACCCTGCTCCAAATACCATATTGTGACATTCTGTACCTAAAATCGTAACTCCGATACTCATCTGTATCATACATCATTTGTATATGATTAGGATATTTTGTATAAAGGTTGCCTTGTAAGATACCATATAAGAGGGACATTGGCATCATGAGACCCCCCCACCCAGCCTGAAGGCAACAAGAATGCTGGGAAGACAAAGACTTTGACCTGACCTGAGGAGATTGGTCCCAGTCTGAGAAGGAAATTCAGCCTGTGTATTAAAAACTGTGAGTTTTCTGTAACATTTATTAGGGTGAGGAAAACTGCTTGATTAAAATCTTGCTTAGTCTGATAAAGTTTAGAATTTAGACTGTGATTTTACTTTTATTTGATTTGTAACCATCTTTGTCCTATATACCAATCACTTAAAATCTATCTTTTTGCAGTTAATAAACTTATCTTAATGTTTTATTCTTACCAGTGAGTTTGTGTAATGCATGTAGGGAATCTGCTCAGATTACAAAGGCTGGTGCATGTCCACTATCATTTGACAAGGTGGCGAACTAATTAATGAGCTTGCATTTTTCCGGAGAAGGTCTTGAGCAGTGTAAGATTTCTGGGGTACAAGGCTGGGGGGAGATTTGCTGGTGTCTTCCACTGTATAGTTCATGAGTGGCTTAGAGAGCATTCATGCAACTTAGCTGGGTGTGCTCTGCATACTGGTGGCTGAGTGATGATAGCACCTGGAGAGATTTGCTGATTGTCACTAGTGAGAGACAGCCCAGGCTGGACATTTAAGGGGGCACAGTGGTCCCATAGTTCCAAGTTGTACCCTGGGTATCCCATCACAGTTACCCATAGAAATCCCAAACCAAAGGCAGTGAACCCTACCCATAGGAATCCTAGCCCTAGGGTGGGGACCCAGACCAATAGGAACTTTAACCATAGCTCCAAGTATTATATCCGTAGGAGCCCTAACCCTGGCATGGGGAGCCCTTCCCATCGAAACCCTAACCCTAGTTCCAAGTACCCTATGCACAGAAACCCTAACCCTAGGGCAGGGAGCCCTACCCATAGGAACCATAGCCCTAAGTACCCTTAACATAGGAACCCTACCCATAGGATCCCTAACCCATTGGTGGGGAGCCCTATCCACAGGAGCCCTATCCCTAGAACCAAGTGCCCTACCCACAGGAATCTTAACCCTAGGTCTGGCAGACCTACCTATAGGAACCCTAACCCTAGCTTGAAATACCCTACGCGTAGGAACCCTAATCCTATGGCGGGAAGCCCTAATATAGGAACCCTAATGCTGGCTCCAAGCACCGTTAGGAACCTTAACCCTACCACAAAATACCATACCCACAGGAATCCTAACCATATGTCTGGGAGCCCTACTAATAGAAATCCTAACCCTAGCTCCAAGTGCCCTGAACATAGGAACTGTAACCCTAGCTGCCAGAACTCTACCCAGAGGACCCTAGCCCTAGGGAGGGAAGCCCTACCCATAGGAACCCTATCCCTAGCCCCAAGTACTGTTTCCACAGCAACCCTAACCAAAGGGTCAGGAGCCTACCAATAGGAACCGTAACCCTAAGGTGGGGAGTGCTAACTATAGGAACCATAACCCTAGCTGCAACCACCCTAATCATAGAACCCCCCCGCGATTGGGTGGGGATCCCTACCCATAGGAACCCTATCCCTAGCTCCAAGTCCCATACACATAGGAACTCTAACCCTGGGGTAGGGAGCCCTATCCATAGGAACCTTAGTCCTGGGGTGGGGAAGTCTACCCATAGGATCCCTAATTTTAGGGCAGGGAGCCCTATCCCTAGACCCTATCCCTAACACCAAGTCCCATACCCATAGAAACCCTAACTCTAGTGTGGGGAGCTCTACCCATAAGAACTGCAACCCTAATTCCAAGTACTCTCCCCATAGAAACTCTAACCTTAGGACTGGAAATTGTACCCATAGGAAACTTAGCCCTAGCTCCAAGTACTTTAAGAATGGGAACCCTAACCCTGGCTCCAAGTACTGTACCCATAGGAACCCTAACTCTAGGGCGGGGAGTCCTACCTATCGGAACCCTAACTGTAGCTCCCAAATACACTACTTACAGGAACCCTAACCCAAGTTCCAACCCTAAATCCTCATTTGGAAACCAATTTTCCAAATTGTTGAGCAACCAGTAGAATAATTTAAAATCCATGGAAATTCCTGGGTGCTCAGCACTTCCTAAAATTAGATTTCTGTTTAGATGTATTTCACTGCACTTGGAAGCCTCACTATAGGCTATCATATTTGAAATTCTTGACCTCAGTGCTTACTGAAAGCATGTTCGATTTACAGTAGTCACTTGGGTCAGTAGAACAGGGCTGAAGACTATGTTAGACAAAGCTTTTTATGAGTTTTCTGCTATTTTGTGATTTCAGTCTAGCTGGAAATAAGGTGCCCCTATCAAATTATTTTTCATCTGCAGAGCTTCAGGGCAAAGACAAAGAATGGGGAAAAAACAATATTATTCTCTCTCTCTCCCCCCTCTCCCCCAAATGCCAACACATTTTGGTTCAAGTTTGATCTAATCCAGTCCATACCTAGGTCAGAGCAGTTGCAGAATCTTCTTTTCATGGGCTCTGATTTGGAAAGAGATACAACGAGCAAGATTTGTTTCAACATTATCATTTGTTCTCGAAAATATATTTTTTTATTTTGTTTTTTGCTCTGTTTTCTGTTTAGTTTTGTTGTACTTCATTCTGCC